CGAGGGTTTGTTGAGGTTCGTGTAACTCGAACTCTCAAGTTGTACGGGTTTGTTAAGCACCGTTAAGCTTAACGAGATAGTTGTGTAGCTCGAGAGAGTCTCTCGGGAGGCTGGATTAGCCACAAGTTGTGGTGAACCAGGGTAAAATCGGTGTGCCTCTTTATTTTCTCTTTACTTCTCGTTTATTCATTTTTATTCCTGCGATTTCTTGATCAAACGCTATTCACCCCCCCCTCTAGCGTTGGTCTATTATTCTAACAAATCTGGCATCAGTCGAATGCCCATGGACCTAGTGTGACCCTCATGCTTTAGCTTTCCTAAAGGCTTGGTCAAGGGATCGGCTATGTTGTCGTCAGTATCTACTTTGCAAATCATCACATCTCTTCTATCTACGATTTCTCGTATGATGTGATAATGTTGTACAATGTGTTTGGTTTTTTGGTGAGATCGCGGTTCCTTGGCCTGTGCAAAGGCCCCAGTGTTGTCGCAAAACAACGAGATAGGGTCATTAATACTAGGAACCACTCCAAGTTCAGTAATGAACTTCTTGATCCAAACAGCTTCTTTAGCTGCCTTGGCGGCAGCTATGTACTCAGCCTCTGTAGTCGAATTGGCGGTTGTATCCTCCTTAAAGCTCTTCCAACTAAAAGCTCCGCCATTCAGGCAAAACAAATATCCTGCTTATGATTTTGAATCGTCTCTGTCGGTTTGGAAGCTAGCATCAGTGTAACCGACCACCTTTAGCTATTCCTCACCACCGTATACCAAGAATGCATCCTTAGTATTCCGAAGATACTTGAGGATGTTCTTGACTATTGTCCAGTGTGCTTCTCCTGGACTTCCCTGGTATCTGCTGGTCACACTTAAAGCGAATGAGACATCAGGTCTAGTACATATCATGGCGTACATGATGGATCCAATCGCAGAGGCGTATGGAACCTTCATCATGATTTCCTTTTGCTCGGGAGTAGAAGGACTCTGGCTCTTGGAAAGAACTATGCCAGGTGTCATAGGTAAAGATCCTTTCTTTGAGTTAGACATGCTAAATCGATCAAGGATTTTATCTATATATGTACTTTGATTCAGACCTATTAACTTTCTTGATCTATCTTGGTAGATTCTTATGCCAAGGACATAACTAGCATCCCCTAAGTCTTTCATGGAGAAGTTCTCGCTCAACCACGTCTTTACAGATGTGAGAGCTGGAATATCGTTACCCATTAACAATATGTCATCGACATATAAGATTAGGAATACTATTACACTCCCACTGACCTTCTTGTATACAAAAGATTCGTTAGAATTCTTCTCGAAAACCAAAACTGCAAATGGTTTCATCGAAGCGTATGTACCAACTCCGAGACGCTTGTTTCAATCCGTAGATTGAACGTTGCAACTTACAAACTTTGGCAGACTGACCAGCAATTTGAAAACCGTCAGGCTGTGTCATGAAGACATCCTCTTTGAGGTTCCCGTTAAGGATAGTCATCTTGACGTCCATTTGCCAAATTTCGTAATCGTAATAGGCTGCAATTGCAAGCATTATCTGAATGGATTTCAGCATAACAACTGGAGAAAAGGTTTCATCATAGTCAATTCCTTGGATTTGTCTATAACCTTTTGCTACCAATCTAGCTTTGAAGGTATGAACCTTCCCGTCTACGTCTGTCTTCTTTTTGAAGACCCACTTGCATCCAATGGGTTTTACCCCTTCGGGCGCATCAACCAAGGTCCAGACTTGGTTAGTGTGCATAGACTCCATTTCTAATTTCATGGCTTTGAGCCATAGATCGGATTCGGGGCATGTAATTTCCTCGAGATAGGTCTCTAGTTCGCCTTGATCTACCAACAAGACGTCACCTTCATCAGACATGAGAAATCCATATCTGACCAGAGGATTACGTATCCTGTCTGACCTACGTGGTATATCTTGAGCAATTTGAGGTTCAATTGATTGATCTCGATCTTTGGTCAGGTTCCAACAGTATTGGGACTTCTTCTTGTATTCTCGAATTTCTTCGAGGTCTACCTTTCTCCCACTAGTGATAGCAGAAAGAAACTCCTTCTCAAGGAAGGTTCCATTCTGAGTAACGAAAATTTTGTTATCGGATGGATGATAGAACTCATACCCTCTAGTTTCCTTGGGGTATCCCACAAAAATTACTTTATCAGATTTAGGCTCCAACTTACTAGACGTCATGAGACATTTTACATAAGCTTCAAAGCCCCAAATCTTAAAGTATGAGAAACTCGGTTTTCTCCCACGCCATTGTTCGTATGGTGTGCTCTCGACAGCTTTAGATGGAACTCTGTTGAGTGTGTGTGCTGCTGTTTTTAATGCATATCCCAAAAATGATTCTGGCAATGTTGTCAGACTAATCATGCTTCGGACCATATCAAGCAAAGTGCGATTTCTCCTTTCAGACACTCCATTTAACTGAGGTGTCCCTGGATGAGTGAGTTGGGATAAGATCCCATGCTCTTTCAGATAGTCATCGAACTCCAGGCTTAGGTATTCACTTCCTCGATCCGAGCGGAGGGTCTTAATACTTTTGCCTAATTGTTTTTCTACTTCGTTCTTGAATTCTTTAAATTTTTCAAAGCATTCCAATTTGTGTTTCATGAGATACACATATCCATATCTACTAAGGTCGTCAGTAAATGTAACGAAGTAAGAATAACCACCTCTAGCTACAGTGTTAATTGGACCACACACATCGGAGTGTATTAGGCCCAATAAGTCACTCGCCCTTTCACCGTGACTGGTGAATGGAGCCTTTGTCATTTTACCAAGTAAACAAGATTTACATCATATGACTGGAAGTGAAATGAATCAAGTACACGTAAGCGATGTAACTTAAATATGTGTTTCTTGTTAATGTGGCCCAAACGACAATGCCATAGGTACGCGAGATTCAAACTGTTAGGTTTGTTTCTCTTAACATCTACGTTATATATTGCGGTATCCATGTCAAGGACATAGAGACCGTTGGTCATTTTTGCACTTGCACAAAATATATCATTTCTAAAGACAGAAAGAGTTTTGTCTTTTACAACGAACGAAAATCCTGCTTTGTCAAGGCAGGATACAGAAATGATGTTTCTGTTCATACTAGGTACAAACAGACAATTATTCAAATGCAATATAAGAGCACTAGGTAGAGATAAACTATAGGTTCCGACGGCCAATGCATAGACGAGTGCGCCATTGCCGACTTTTAGTTGTATCTCTCCCTCCGTCAATTGTCTACATTCATGCAGGTCTTGCATAGAAGTACAGATGTGAGAACCACATCCAGTATCCATCACCCAAGAGGTGATATCAGACATATTGACTTCGATAACATAAATACCTGAGTTTTGGGGCTGACCCTGGTAAAGGTCTCTTAAGCGTTGTATCACAGGACACACTTCCATGTCCGCGTGGAGCCATTGGAGCTCCGGGGTCATACTGGCCATAATGATACACTTTGCATCTCGCGCGTCGTCCTCATACTTCTTGAAGGAAGTGAGTTCGGACGCACGAGCATTAGAATCAGGGGTCTTGGGAGGATCCGTTTCGAGGATGTAGAGTTTCCTCTCACAGTCAAGAACGGTTCGGAGGTTCATCTCCTAGTCAAGAAAGTTGGTCCCGGATAACTTGTTGTTTTCCACGATGTAACGCAGGTTGAGAGGGTTGTAGTTGTTTGCCTAATACAGAAAATTTTGCAAACTAGGTTATCTATCATGTTTAATAATTAATTAGGCCTTTAATTAATTATCTCCCACTATTTTTAACAAATGAATAACCCTCGATATTGATTCGGAGATTTCCAGCGAAACCTCTAGTGGTCCAAGATCCATATTTCATTATCTTGCGTTCTGCTTGGGCGTTACTCCAGAAGACAACTATTTAGGTAGGAACATAGTTCCAATTGATGAGCCGGGCTCTCAGCTCTTGGTCTGGTGTTGGGCGAACAATATTACTACAAGCGTCCGGTCTCCAACTTTGAAACACGAGCAACGCCGGAGTCTACCACAATCTTTATGCTAGTAAAGATTATAGTAGTATAAAATATAAATATTAAAATTGGGATAATAATAATCTTGTATATTTCTATAGAAAATATTTCTAATAATATTTAGAAAATATTATATGTATTTTCTATACACAAAATGATATTAATGGAACACAAAAATATATTTTCTCTCACAAAATTATAATGGCCGAAAATCCCTTCACCAAAAACCAATCAAATTGGCTAATGAAGTGTTGTATTTAAATAAAACAAAAGATGTTAAATTAAATTTTGTCATCTACTAATATACAAAGCTCAAGGGGAAAAATGAACAATGTATTTTCTCGCCTAAGCAATTGGGTTCGGATTGGGCGTTCGAGTATGGGAGTAATAATCGGGTATCCATTTTTGTGGGAGAAATAATTGACCAATTAGTATTCGGGTGTATCAATGGGTATCCAATTCGAATTAATGCTTTGGAAAACTAAAATGTGTGCTTTGGAAAACAAAAAAATTAAGAGCATACAATTAAATGCCCGATTTTAATGGCTTCTTCATATTCGAGTACAGTGGGTATACAAATCAAACAAATGCTTTAGAAAATGATTTTGTATGCTTTTAAAACACACAATTTAATGCTTGGGCGCCTCTTGGTATTCAAGAGGCAAAAAAATCGTTGGGCGCTGTATTGCACTCGAATAAAGGAAAAACTTAATTGGGACAATGCATTTGTGTGCTTTTGACGGCTTGGCCGTTTATTCCCAAGAAAAAAATTTAATTATTTCTCCCCTCCATACAAACTTATTTATGAAACCTTCTTTAGCAATTCATTTCACAAACCTACACCTTCTTCTTCGAAAACTTCAGTTTAATATTTTCAAAATAAAATGGCTCCCAAACGCGTTTTCCCGGGACTATTTACCAATCTCAAAGACCTCTAAAGTGACCAAAAAAACATTGCTATTCATGTACGAGCTATACGTGTCTACCATGTTGATCCTTATGGACGAAATGTTGAATCAATGGAAGTTGTGTTTCATGATGAAGAGGTATTTGATCTTTTACTATGGCAATTATTCCAGTTTTTTTTGCTACGCTTTTTGTTCATGCAACAAATAAATAACGTGCATGAAAAATCTTAATCCTTGATGAGTATGTTAAATCTAGTTATGCATTTCTTTGAGTTTTTTGAAATTTTATTCCGGTTTTTGTGACAATAACTTTCATAGGGGAAAACGGATGCTCTGCACGTTGTGGGGTAAGCATGTTGACTTCTTCAATGAATATATTGCCCAAGACCTACCGTATCCATCTGTGATGTTATTGAGCTTCTGTCGCATTAAAAGGTTCAACGGTAAGTTTTACCAAATGATTCAACAAGGTGATAACACACGTAAATATATCACTAACCTCTAAAACAATTTCAATATAGGGGGTGTCAATGTTTCAACGGCTTATGATGTCACGAAGATTGTGTTAGGTGGTGATTCAAATGAAATTGTGGACTTTAGGGCAAGGTAAGATTACTTAAATATTTCAAGTTACTAGATGATTTGTGCTTGACTGAAAAACCTAATTCCATCGTAAAATTATGTTATGACAAAAAGGCTGCCAAATTAAGGTGATGAAAGCACTTTTACAAACTCATTCTTGAGTTTGGGAGAAGGTGTCAATGAAGAAAACTTGACAATCGCGTCTATAGATGATTTGCTCAAGGAAAATGAGGTAAAGTTTTATTGAATTTGCATCAAATTAAGCTTTGGACTCTTTGGGTTTGATGTATTGCATTTGAATCTGTAGGAAGGAGTTTGTTGGGTGCTAGGAGAGATTGATTCACTTGGGCTCATGCATTCATGGTCTTATCTTGGTTTCACCGATTGTAACAAGAAAGTGTATCCTGAAGATGCTAGGTTTAAATGTGATGGCTGTGATAAAACGATCCCACATGGCGTGTACAGGTAAATACAATAAAATGTCTTTAAAGAGAAGGCATGATGAAATTGATTTGGTGTGATTGTTAGACAAATGTGCAACTCTAGAGGGGGTGAATAGAGTTGTTTTCAAGAATGTGCGTTTTTCGCGTGTGTGAAATAAAAATTGTAGGAATAAATTTAAAGAGTAAGGGAAAGAAGAACACCGAGATTTATACTGGTTCACCACCTCGTGGCTAGTCCAGTCCTCCGAGAGACTCTCTCGAACGTCCTACTAATCTTCAAGCTTCAACGGGTGCTTGAAAAACCGGTACAACTTGAGAACTTGAATCACACAAGCCTCACTTTCTTACAACACCAAGACTTGAGTCACACAAGTCTTAAGAACAACACTCAAACAAGATGAGTTTAACAACACAAGAAATGAAGCTCACAAATGAGCAAGTAGTGTTTAAAGTGTAAGCTCTATGGATGACAATATCTTTGCACTCAAGAAATATATATATAAATCTAGCTCTCAAAATAGTATTTGATTATCAAGAGATTGAGCAAGAATCAAAAGTAATGAATGAGAGGATTGGAGTGCTTGTATTGTATTTCGAATGAAGGATGAAGAGGGATTATATAGGTGAAAAATGGATATGTCCGTTGGGGCAAGAAATTAGCTAAGTATGAGATTCAACAGACAAAAAATTAATTTGTACAAAGAGGGAAAATCGATTAGATGCTTCTGAGTGAAATTCTTTTTGCGCTACAGGTAGCTAATCGATTAAATGATGACTGGTTTAATCGATTTAAGCCCAAAATCGATTTCACCAAAGGTGAATTAATCGATTAATAAACTAGGCGAGAAAACCCAATCAGCGAGAGAGAAGAAATCGATTTTTGCACAAGATAGAAAATCGATTAATACTGCGAATTTCTCAGAGACAGCAAGAATCAATCAATGGCGAAATAGGGAAGGAAAATAGTAAATATCTTGTTGTTTCGAACAGGATTCTTGAGACAAAGGCTCCCAATCACATCCTAAGTTTATTCAAAATTAATTTGAATAAATGGGGTGATTTGAGATTTAGGGTATAGAAATTGAGTCCAAAAAATATTTTGTGTGTCAAACGATGTCAAAAAATATTTGGATTAAAAGTATTTTTGCTTCCCAAAACTATTTTTCTAGTATCAAAAAGATTATTTGAAATTGTTTGACACATCTTTTGTAACTGACTCAATAGATTTATTTTTGAATCATTAAAGGATTTTTTTAATAAACTCCAAAAATAAATATAAATTTTTAAATGTATATCCCTCAATAAAGTAAATTTTTAAGTAAAAAGATATTTTGTCATCCTTACAAATTTCCTAGACTCAAAGAAATAAAAGTCTTCGGAAGGCTTCTCTTTACTTGAAGATCTTGCGTAGGGATAATGAACTGCAGTCGTTGTAAATTTCTTGAAGTGTCTTTTGCTTTCTTGAACCGAAAAATAAATTTTCGTTCTTCGTTGCGTTTGTCATTTATCAAAACCTGAAAAATTAATTTCATGAAAAAAATTTATCTAAAAAGGGTTTGAACTCATGTCCAACAGTGATATCCTAAAATAGATTATGTTGATGTGAATGTAGGTATAAGGTGATTGTCAATGTTGTGGACGGAACTAAGGGTGGAAATACTGCTTTTGTTCTCTTTGACAAAGAATGTTTAAATTTGTTGGGTGTTGGTGCGTACCTATTGAGGGACTCTATGATGGAGGTATAAGCATTAGAGAAATAATAAGGATAATTATGTTAAAATCTATGTACGTGTCATTGTATATTTTTTGATTGTTTTTGTTAAATGTGTGTAGAGGAATTTGGATCCAGACATGCTACCTCATGAGTTGGATGCTTTGGTTTGTCGAAAGGCACTTTTCAAGGTTTATGTGAAGAAGCAAGCAGGCTCCCCGATAAGAAAAGGCCCACGTATCTTCTCTATTGGTCAAATTATTACCGACCCAAAGATGATGTCTAAGTATGGTGAAAGGACGGAGGAAAGAACAAAGTTCGATGACCTTTGGGACAATGTGGTAGATTTGACTCAGTGTGTGGAGAAGGTACTAATTAATGTTAGCATGGAATTAATACACATTTAAGATATGTATAAATGTGTGTAGATGGGTAACTTTTACATTAATTGATGTAGTCTAATTTGGGTAAATTTTGATTAGATTGGTTCAAATGATGTTCATGAAGACTTGATTGATGTTGATTGATGTTGATGATCCAGTTAAAAGAAAATTGTTTTGTGACACAGAAAAGGGTCAAGAAAAGAAACTGAAAAAGGTCAAGATTGAAAAGTAGGAATATTTCTGGATATGTTTTGATGAAACATTCGGATTTTGGTAGTCTTGGTTGACTGTTTTGCTACATTCGGATTTTGGTAGTCTTGGTTGACTGTTTTGCTGTGTTTTTTTATGTAATTTGCAGGGTCTTTGGATCCACACTCAATGAACCAGAGTGTTTTTGGAAATCTTTAATTATAAGTCTTTTGTTTGATGCATGTCTTATTTTTGGATACACTTTTAAAATGTACCAATTTCAATAAAAAAATCCACTCAGACAATATGAGAACAATCCACTCGGACAATATGATTAAATGCATCGAGAAGACAAGCTTGAATAGAGAACAATCCACTCGGACAATATGATTAAATGCATCAAGAAGATAACTTTGCGAGGCTCAAGAAGCACCGCAAATTAAATGCTAACATCATTTAATCATATGAATAAGTACCGCAAAACAAATGCTAATATATTTAATGCAATTTAATAATCAAATTGAGGAGACAATAAATAATTTTTAAAGTGAGAAAATATTACATATGAGACGACAATTAAGTGCTTTGGAATGTGAAAACCTCATTTAAAGTAAATATCATACAATTCAATTTTTTAGAGTAAAAATGTTATGTAACGTTAAAATTTATATACATATGTATATATATACATATGTGTATATATATATATATATATATAGACTTTGTTTTATATATATATATATATATATATATATATATATACATATATACATATATACATACATACATACATACATGCATATATATATATATATATATATATATAGGGGTTGGATCAGGTAAGAATGACTTACAGTGAAAGAAATAAGAATGATTAACAATCATGGATCTTTGTAATTGAACGGCACTGATGGCATCTAATAAAGAGTGATGTGGCACTTCAAGAAACCTAATGAATAAATGCGGTGCTATAATTTAGGAGAAATTGCAATTAGCAAGGGCATTTTAGTCCCTCAAAACTCGTACGCCAGTGCACAAAGATAACTAATCCCACATATATAGGTCTAGTCCAATTAAAGAATTTAAAGATCACATGAACCCCCCCCCGCCATTATTGACTAAAACAAAAAAAACAAGCTGAGATTGCACGTAATAAACATTAAAGTTTAAGTTTTACTTTTGTATTGATAAGGCTTAGCACGTGTTGCATGGATATGCATTTGAAATGCACAGTTACCAGTTAAGAATGCATTATATAGTGATAAATTATTTTTTGATTATTGATTTTGGATAATAACGTGACGAAGATTGTAACAATTGCAAAAAAATCATTAAAATAATACACATACAACATATCAAAATTTATCTTGAAGGATGCGTTGTGATATGCACTAGGAGCATGCTACATGTACTCCAAAATTTTGCACTCCATTTGTATAGTAAAGGTGTGCACCAACATTTTGATGGTTTACACTGACACAAAGTGTTGGTGCGTTAACAAAAATTTACGCAGACGCAAAGTGTTAGTGCATTAACAAAAATTAGCCTACCCTAAATGTTACATAAAATGTTGGTGCATCCCTGCGGTGCACAAAATGGGGTATAAATTCTTGGGGGTACAAATAGCTTTACCCTATCCACCAACATAAAATCTAAAATGAATGCACTATGGTAGGGAATTTATGCATTATGATTTATCCTTTTGATTTTATTCGAACTCTATTCTATGAATTTATGCATTAGTGCATAATAACTCGTAAGTGATTTGTATGTGATGAAAAAACATGAGAATTCAATGTAATCCGTGTAATACCAATTTGAGAAATAATTTGCCTATGCAGGATTCGAACCCATATCCATAGTACATACTGCTCTACCATTTGAGCTAATAGGCAATCATTTATTTTTTTCAAAGAGATTTCTATATTGCACTTGGACCTATTCAATAGGCACTTTGATCTCTTAAAATTGGTATCATTCAGCATGCTTCTAACCCATTTTTGAATGTATCAAAGACCATTTAAAATGAATATTGTCAGTGATTCATTATCTAGTTTATACAAATGCGTCATATTTGTGTCAAATGAATTTCCCCATCAAATGCATCCATTCAGAATTTCAGACCATCAAATCATAATTTTAATTCTAAGAATGCCAATGTTATTAAAACCGGACCGGACCGGCCGGTCCAACCGGTTGAACCGTGAACCGGACATCAATCTGGTCCGGTTCAACATCAAAACCCGCCCTTGCATTGACCCGTTCAAAACCGGCGAACCGGCTGACCCGGGTCAGCCCATCCGGTTCCCGATTTCCAATCAAAATGCTTTAAATTTGATTAAAAATTTCCAAGGCAGTTAAGAATGCATTATATAGTGATAAATTATTTTTTGATTATTGTTTTTGGATAATAACGTGACGAAGATTGTAACAATTGCAAAAAAAATCATTAAAATAATACACATACAACATATCAAAATTTATCTTGAAGGATGCGTTGTGATATGCACTAGGAGCATGCTACATGTACTCCAAAATTTTGCACTCCATTTGTATAGTAAAGGTGTGCACCAACATTTTGATGGTTTACACTGACACAAAGTGTTGGTGCGTTAACAAAAATTTACGCAGACGCAAAGTGTTAGTGCATTAACAAAAATTAGCCTACCCTAAATGTTACATAAAATGTTGGTGCATCCCTGCGGTGCACAAAATGGGGTATAAATTCTTGGGTGTACAAATAGCTTTACCCTATCCACATTTTGAGCTCCTAACCAAATGAGCTGCTACAGCTTTTGTTGACCATGTCATGCATTGTGGTATATATTACCTTCTTAAACTATTTAGAGAGTGTTTTTAAAAAAACTTCAAATTACTTAAAAAAGAAATATGTTTATATAATATAGTTATATTGTTGATTTTTAAAGTAGTTCAAACNTTTTTTTATCTTAAGAAAACTAAAAATAATTTATACTTAATGTATTATCTTTTATCTTTAAATTATTAATTATAATTTAATATATTGCTTTTTTATATTTTCAATCATTTTAATCAACTAAAATATAAATTTTTCAATCTTTAAATTATTAATTAAAATCATTTTAATCAACTAAAATAAGAATTTATTATCTTTTTTTTATTTTTAAAAAATACAAGTATTACCTTATAATTTAAGTGTGTGTTAGACATTCAATATTAATTTTTAATAATAATAAAAGTAATAGAAAAAAATAGAAATTGTAAATTAAAATATATACAATGATATTAAAACTAGATGGAGAAGTAAAAACACAAGCTAAATACTTTTTTAACTAAAAATATCTAATGGTATAATATAAAATATTAATATTTTAATTATAGTTTGACCGAGTCGTTGACCCGAGTTAACCCCGGTTCAACCGGTTAACCCTTGACCCAGTGCTTTGTCCGAGTCGATGTCCGGTCCGGTTTTCAGAACATTGAAGAATGCATAATAAAGAGAATGCATTATCCTTTATCTTGATTTTAAGAATACATTATCTTCTCATGTAAATGCATCACCTTGATTCCGATAACGCACAATAACAGGAAAAAAACAAAACATAAAAAAGATGAAAGAAAACAAAAAGCAGCAATATACACCTCAATGAACACCAAATTTCCAACAACAGTGTCAAGGTAATATAAAAATCACAATCATACGGTGAATTTTATAACCAACATTCGCTCAGATAAGTGAGTGCACTATTTGCAAGTGCATGATGCATTGCCATCTAAATCAAAATGCAATGTTGTGTAAAAATGAAAAATATAAATTGATATACTAATTTTGGACACTGGATGCCAAATTTGTGTCTCATAAATGCAATCTAACACAAAACGATAAGAATGACTGGTCCAAAAAATATCTAAAACTGAAGTAAAAAGAATCCATGAATCAATAAATTAAAACATATCTAGCTACATTCAAAGACTCCTGTAATTGATTAAATTCAAACTCCAAGGTGTAAATCTGTAAGTTTTGTAATTAGTACATCCACGATTAATCTAAAAAAATCTAAATTGTTCTTTCTTTCAAACAAAATTTGAAATCTAGGTATGAAAAATTGTTGCTAAATTCTATATATATATATATATATATATATATATATATATATATATATATATATATATATATATATATATATATATATATATATATATATATATATATATATATATATATATATATATATATATCTTTCTTTCATTAGATTTTATTCTCATTTGAACCAAATTCTATATATATATATATATATATATATATATATATATATATAATGGCTTCTAGAGAGAGAAAGTTCTCCGGCGACTCTCCGGCAGCAACTCCGGCAGCCACTGGCAGGCCTAATCCACCCCCCATACATCATTTCCCAAAGCTATTCTCGGATTTATTTTCTGGTTCAAAGCTAGAACCCTTAGGGAAGGTGGAAGGCTTCCATAATGGAATGCCCTCGGCCTCTTTTTCTGTTGAAGAGGACGACATACTAGCCAGCTCTCTCAAGTATGCTGCAGTTGGGAGGTCTCAATCCAAGATCTCGCCGCTAGGGATGAAGGCCTTCTTGTTGAAAGGAAGGTTCAGGGGTGGCTTCAGAATAAGGAGGCTCTCGGATGAGGAACTTTTGTTCAGTTTCAAAGAGGAGGCTGATTATATTAGGTTTATGCAGAAACGAATCTGGTACGTGGGCAAAACTCTTCTCTTTGTTTCCAAATGGACTAAAAACTTTCGCAATGACTGGGATTGCCTGTTGTTCCTATTTGGGTTACCTTCAAACAACTGCCCCTACATTTTATCCACTACCAAGCACTTTTTACTCTGGCATCAACCCTTGGTAGACCTATTCAGCTAGATGCTTCAACATCCATTATGGATAAAGGTCTAGATGCTAGAGTCCTTATTGAAAGAGATGTCAGTATTCCTCTACCTCAATCTATTCATCTAAGAATTGGGGACAAAGACCATTCTATATACTGTTTTTTTGAAAATCCCCCCATGTTCTCCAACAAGTGCAAAAGGCTGGGGCACAACTGCTTCATCTCTACACCCATCGGAAATTCCTTCTCCGGGAAGGTAAATTGCACAGGGCAGGAGAAGGGGAAGCAAATAGGGCCCCACCAATGGGTCTTAGCCAAGGGAAAGAAAAAATCATTCAATAATATAATCAAAATAGCAACAGTCAATTACAACAGTCCAGAAAAATGTGGGTCAGGAAGAAAACTCAAACAACTGATGTCTCCTCTCAGAATCCTTTTAGTCTTCTGGATCAGCCCATGGACCAGCCTACGGTTCAAATTTTGCCATCCAATTACCAGTTGTACAATTCACATACAAGTACACATGGGCAGCTGACAAGCATGGACCCACTTCTAGGGCAACTCCTTGGGGATGTTCAAGTCCCTGCAAACAACAATAACAAGACAAATGATATCTTCCCATCCTTCTCTGAAGCTAAGGAGTATGCTAATAAGATGGATAAGAAAAAACAGACAGTTGAAGACAATCACTCTAAAAAGGGAGCCTGTCAAACAATCATAGAGGAAGGCCCTCATTACAGGACCGCTGATCAAGGGCTAGGACTTCTTCTGCAATATTCAGAACCCAACTCTCCTAGTATCCAAGATCAAGACTGTGATTTTGGATACCACTCAGAAGCAGAAGTTAGTGTGTTTTTAGACAACTCAAGGCTGGAACCTAGAAGCTTTAAAACCCCTGAACAGAAATCCTTATGTGTCTCAGTCCCTAAAGCCTTTAAAAAGAGAAAGCACTTTGATATCCCCACCATGGTTACCAGGAGTATGAAGGGGACTAAAGATGTTACATCCTACGGCCAAATAGCACCAGTACATAAGCAAACTAGCAACTGTTGAGGAGCTGGCAACTCCGAGTCTTAACAGAGATGAAGTGTTCTGGGTATCAGCTGATCCCCCGGAATGGTTGGACAAGTTGGCAAAATACATTGAGGACGGTGTAGCCCCGGAGGATTCCCGAGAAGCCCGTTTGCTGCGGATGAGGGCACCCACCTACAAGGTGCAGGATGGAGTCCTCTATAAGCGATCTTATAACGGTGTTTTACTCCGTTGCCTCAGGGCGGCGGAGGCAAAGGCACTAATGGAGGAAATACACGAGGGAGTATGTGCTGCACATCAGGGTCCATACTCTATCTCCAGAAGGGCGATTATCCAGGGATATTTCTAGCCAACGATGAGGAAGGATTGCGAAGAGTACGTGTGCAAGTGCCCAACCTGTCAACAATTCCAGAATATGCCCGGGAGGCCAGCCACGAACTACACGCCCATCAGCTCTGTGATTCCCTTCTCAAGATGGGGAATTGATATTGTGGGAGCCTTTCCAAAGGGAGTTGGACAGGCAAGGGGGATAGTGGTGGCCATTGATTACTTTACCAAGTGGGTGGAAGCTGAACCACTTGCCGGGATAACAAGAAGGCAGATGATCGGCTTCGTTGGAACCAATATACTTTGTAGGTTTGGGGTCCCGAAGCAGATCATATCTGACAATGGAACCCAGTTTGAGGAAGCAGAGTTTCAAGACTTTCTCAAAACTTGGGGAATTCAGCATACAAAAGTGTCTGTTGCCTACCTTCAGGCTAATGGACAAGTGGAGAACGTCAACAGGACAATCATAAATGGAATAAAAAAGAAGCTGCTTTCAGAAGGAAGTAAATGGGTGGATGAACTACCCAGGATCTTGTGGACATACAGGACAACTCCAAGGAGAGCTACGGGTGACACTCCTTTCGGCTTAGCCTATGGTTTTGAAGCCCGGGCTCCCGCTGAGGCAGTAATCCCTATCAGGAGGGAGATAGAATATGACCCGGAAGTAAATGAACAGAATCAAGCCGTAGAACTGAACTTCGTAGAGGAACGAAGGGATGAGGCACGGATCCGGGCAGAGAATTATCGTCGCCAGGTGAAATCTTACTTTGATAGTAGAGTAAAACCAAGGGCGTTCCAGGTGGGGGATTACGTCCCGAGGAAGCGAGAGAAGAGTCAACCAACTAAGGGTGGGAAGCTGGCTAAGAAATATGAAGGACCTTATATCATCAAGGCCGTTGTTCGCCCAGGTACCTACAAGTTGGTGACTCCAAAGGGAAAAGAAATTGATAGGACGTGGAATGTAGAGCACTTGGTAAAATTTTATTAGTAAAATCATTTTGTAAAGCGCTCTATTTTTAAATTTAAGATGTTTGTTTCAATGAATTTTTTCTTTCCTTTAAAGCCAAGTGCCTTTGCATGTTCATTGTTCTATAGATTTCTTTCACAAAAAAAAAATTGGGGAGGTAGATAAGTTTATGTCCCCCCGGAGGTAGATAAGTTTATGCCTCCGTCAAAAATGAAGGAAGGGTTGGCGATAAAGACCCACATTACAGGGAGGTAGATAAGTTTATGCCACCTGCTAAAAATAGGGGAGGTAGATAAGTTTATGCCCCCCAGAGGTAGATAAGTTTATGCCTCCGTCAAAAATGAAGGAAGGGTTGGGATTGGACTTTGAGGGCCTTTACAACCTGGAATTCGGGAAGAACAGCAAACAGACTTCGAGGGCTAAAGCTTAGTATTCCACCAGCACAGATCAACCGAGCAAACAAACTTCGAGGGTTGGAGCTCAACTGATCTAAGGTAGATAAGATTATGCCTTAACCCGGAGGAAAGGAGGTCAGGGGCAGGTGAGGTAGGTTCCCATGGCATGACCAAACCCCGGGAGATGAGATTTTATACAGAGAATGAATTATGTTCTTGCATTAGAAAGAGTGCAAAGAAATAACCATTAAGGACCACATTGATGGGCCAAAGTTTACATTTTTGGTTCACAATAAAGGTTCCCAGTGAGATAAAGAAAAAAGAAAATGAGGGAATTTATCGATTGCTAATTCGAAGGTTGTATCTTTGAATTACAACGTTAAATCCTAGACTGAAATTGGAGGACATTCCTTAGTATGGGACGCAGGAAAAACAAGTGAATGCCTCTTGAAATAAAACAAGGAAAAGAAATTTAATTTGCAGGGGGGCTAGGCACTGAAGGAGGGCCTATTGCATCCATGCAGTTAACAAGAAGGAGGTGGGGGCCCTTCCCATGGGCTCCTTCTCTTCGACGAGGGGCACGCAGCGGAATCAGCAGCTTCCCATATGTCATAGTCTTCCCACGTCCCAGAACGGGGAGCTGGTGCTCCCAATGAAGAACCATCATTGAGAGACCTCAGCAAGTTTGGAGAAGCAGTCCGGCTTTCACGTGAAGGTTCCGCCTCGACAGTCGGCAGAGAACGCTCAAGTTTAGCCCTGCGCATCCTTTGGTACAAGGCGAAGTCTTGGAGGGTCATAGAGTCCCAGTCTATCTTCCCGGATGGAAGCCTGGGTGGACTAGGAGGAGATGGTGCGGGAAGACGAGGTGCTGGATGAAGTCTTGAGAACTCGCCAGGACTCAACCCAGCCATGTCGTTGGATTGAGTCGGGGAGGCGGAGAAATCATCATCTGAGGAAGATGTCCCGGAAAGGGTTAAGTCGATAACGACTTTACTCTGAGATTTACTTGCCATGGCGAAGAAATCAGAAAGGGATGAACTAGCAATAAACCATCCTCTCCCATTTATAGTGAAAGGGGAAGGGATAGTTGGGAAATGATGAATGCGGTTAAAAGACGTGAAAGACTAAGCGATTGGCGAATGAAGCGGTCGAAGATTCCCAATGTTTGACTAGGGGTTTTCGCCACTTAAGCGCATGGGCCAGTTAATTGGGCCCATCTGC